GGCATTAAGCACAGTCACACTGTTGTGCAACCGTCACCACCACCCATCTCCAGAGCTCTTCTGTCGCCCCAAACTGAAGCTCTGAGTGCATGAAACATAACTTCTCACCCCCCAGCCCCGGCACCCCGCATTCTACTTTCTGCCTCTGTGACTCTGACTGCTCTAGGGACCTCACATAAATAGAGTCATACTGTGTTTGTCTTTTGGTTTCTGGCTTATTCCACTTAGCGTATGTCCTCAAGTTTCATCCATGTTGTAGCATGTGGCAGAACTTCTTTTATTTTAAGGCAGAATAATATTTCATCATTTATTTATACCCCATTTTGCTGATCCATTCGTTCATCCTTGGACACTGGTTTGCTTCCACCTTTTGGCTCTTGTGAATAATGCTGCTATGAAAAAAAATTCTACCGTGAACACAGGCGTGCAGTCTCTCTGTCCCTGCTTTCAATTCTCTCTGGACTTCCTGGATCGTATGGCAATTCTGTGTTTAATTTGTTAAGGAATTGCCGTACTGTTTTCCACAGCAGCTGCACCATTTTATGGTTCCACTGTTACAAATTTCTTTCTTCTCCTTGACTACTCAAACCCCAGGGCAGAACTGAAGAGGGAGGAGGGGAGGGAGGGGCGGTGGGAGACATTTTTGCCTCATTCCTAATCTGCAAAGGAGGGCTTTCTGTGTTCCTCCACTAACCGTGTTTTCTGGGTGGTTTTTGAAGATGTCCTTTTTCAATTAGAAAACATTTATCTGTTTATTTATTTAAAAAATATGCTAAGAAAAAATTTGAATTTTACATGTGGATGTTGAATTCTATTTTGTCTTTATGATGTACTCTAACTTTTCCTTTTAAATTTGTTAATTAATATGGTGAATGCTACTAATAAAAATTCTAATAGTGATCAAGTTGCTGGAATAAACCTGACTTGATCATGACGTATCATCTTATTCACTGCTGGATCTGACTTGGTCATATCTGTTCAGAATTTTTGCCTCCGCATTTTGACTAGAATCGGTCTACACCTTTTTCCTGGTCTTGTTATTGTCAGTTTGGGTGTCCAGGTTATGCTGGCGTCATAAAATGAGTTGGGAGTGTTTACTTTTCTCCACGTAAGACTGGTACGAATGAAACTGTTTCCCAGGTGTTTGGCAGCATTCAGATAAAGCCATTTAAACACAGTGTCTTCTTTATGGGAAACCTTTTGACTACTGATAGCATTTCTTTTAAAGTTAAAGGAGTCTTCTAATTTTGTGTTTCTCTTTGATTTAATTAGATGTTAGCTCTATTTTGAGCCTTCTTTTTTTTTTAAATAAAGCAAGCACTTAATAATCTAAGTTTCTTTCCGAGTATTATATCCTGTGAGTTTGACGTGAAAAATTAGATGGTGAAATCTTCTAATTTCAAATATGATTTCTCCTTTGGCCCATGAGTTGATTATAAGTCTTATTAAACTTCCAAGTGAGTGGATTTTTCTAATTATCTTACTGGCTTTGCTTTCTAACTCAATTGCATTGTGGTAAGAAACACGGGCTGGTGGACCCTGACCTTTGTGGTGTGCTGCAGCCAGCATGGGGGGGGTTCAACCCCAGCAACTGCTCCACCTGCACCTGAAAGAAACGGTTCTGCTCCAGATGTCACATGCAGTCAAGGCCATTGATTCAAGCTCGACACTTTCACTGTCCACGTTTTCTAACTTCTTACTGGGTTTTTCAGTCTGATTACCAGTTACTGAGAAGAGTGTTATCTCCTACTGTGATGATGGATTTGACAATTTTTCCCTTTAATTCTTTCAGTCTATACACAAATATAAGAGGCTATAAACAAATTCATGTGGTGTATACAGATCTAGAATTGATACACTTTCCCAGTGAATGGAACGATTTATCATTTTGTAGCAAACTTCCTTACTGTAATGCTTTGTGCCTGAATTCTCCTTTGACGTTAATATGACTGCACTTGCCCCTTTTTGGTTAATATCTTCACCATCTATCTTTTCCATTGTTTGGCTTTTAATCTTACTGTGTGCTTTGGGTGTGTCTGTTGTAATGAACACATAGCTGAGTTTTGTCTTTTGTTTTGTTTCTTAAATAACAATTAGGGCCTTAACTGGAGAATTTAGTCCACTTACACTTGTTGTGATTTGTAATTTAGTTTTATCTCTAACATCACACTTTGAGCTTTTGATTTATCCTGTTTCACTCGTTTCTTTCCCACCTCTTCCTTCATCTGGGCTGTTTTGCTTTCCTCTGCTTGTGGATTCTT